TGTCGAAGAAATCTGAATATGTTCTTGATCGAGGAGGCTATCTTGTACCAGACCATCGCAACATCCTCGGAATGTGGTCACCAATCTTACTCGAGAATCAAGCTCCCGACTCCGAGATTGCCTCATACACCCACAACTGCAACACAGTTATAACATTGGTTACCATATACAGAGAGAGACATAAAAATGTGTCACCAATCTTACTGAAATAAAATGTGTACACATGTATACCTGCACAGCGAGAGGGAATATGTACAACGTGTAAGACATCATGTCGCAATTGCTGGCCTTTGCCAAGTTCACCTTTCTCCCCCATCCACGAATTAGTGATTTGATAAGAGGCTTAAAACATATTGTCCCCCATGGATAGACATTGAAGAAATTCAAGTCATCCACAATAGAAAGAGCATCGGGATGTATCCCCACATTTCGGTCTCTACAATTGAATACCCCTTCGATAATTAGTTCCAACCCAAGCTTGTAACGATCGTTACGGTTGACACATTTTAAGAAAACCTTCTCTAGGTCGCTACAAGTAATTCAGTCTCTATTGATAAATAGTTTGTCCCGTATTCGATTTTTCCCGAGGATTTTATCGAAATTCGACCCTTTAGGTAAGTTACCACACTTCAAGCCAGTAATTAATGCAAACTCCAGCAAACCGAATCTTGCAATCCATTGGTTCACCTTGAATCAAACCTCGAAACATTTTGGATAAATAACAGATCTATTTACCATTCATGAATTAATTAGGCAGATAGTTTGAGATTGGGCAGCTTCACAACATGGCCTATACAGCTTCCCTTTGTTGTTCGTCAAACTTGTTGAGGACAATTGTTATGTACTTCGTGTGGCTTACTTGTGAAATTTGGCCAGGAACGCGCTCTTCCTCCAATATTTTATAGCGGTGTGAGAGGGGCATCTACAAATAAGTGAAACGAACAAGACGAAAAATATAAGAACATACAAAGGAATAGTGAGAGAAGACAAATAACTGAAGACAATGTAAAGTAGAAAGAAAAAACAAATGGTCATGTGAAAGTGGACATTTATTGTAATTTCTACATACAAATTTATACTTTCTTTTCTTCGATGATGATGATAGATTATTAAAAAATCTGTTGATGGTTAAAAATGCATAGGAACTACAAAATTTGATCTTAATTCAACACAAATGCGACTACTATCTTGTGAGAGTAAACAAATAAACACCAAATACTTTGTACAAATGAGAAGACATGTGAAGAGCCACGAAATAAATCATCAAGCTATCTCAATGGGAAAAATCATGTTTGTTTGATATGAA